TCTCCCATCTTTTCTTTGCAGATGATAGTCTTTTATTTCTACAAGCATCTCTTGCTAGTTGTCAGTATTTGAAAGATTTGCTTACAACCTATGGAAAGGCAGCTGGGTAACGTATCAATTTTGAAAAATCTGCTATGGCGTTTGGTCCTAATTCTAATAATCAACTCCAAAGTAATATGCAGCAGATCCTTGGCATTCCCATAGTTCAATTCCACGAGAAATACCTTGGACTACCAACGGTTGTTGGACGCGCTAAGAAGGCTCTCTTTGTCAACCTACACAACAGAGTTGGAAAACTTCTTCAGGGTTGGAAAGGAAATATTCTCTCAATTGCAGGAAAAGAGGTCTTAATCAAAGCAGTCGCACAAGCTCTCCCAACTTATACAACGAGTATTTTTAAACTGCCCATGTCCATCACCAAGAAGCTTCAAAGTATGATTAGCAAGTTCTAGTGGGGAAGAATGGGAGATAACCGTGGTGTTCATTGGCTCAAGTGGAATGTCCTGTGTCGATCAAAGGAGGAGGGGGGACTCGGATTTCGTGATTTCACTAGTTTCAATCAAGCTCTTCTTGCTCGAATGGCGTGGAGAATTCTAACACAGCCTCATGCTTTGGTTAGTCAAGTTCTGAAGGCCAAATATTTCCCCAATAGAAGTTTCTTACATGCTGATTCTGGATCATCACCTTCTTATATTTGGCATATCTTATGGGGCAGTGACTTACTTCAAAGTGGCATCAGATGGAGAGTAGGAGACGGTTGTAATATTTTTGTTTATTTTGATAAATGGTTGCCTACTCCCACCACTTTTCAGACTATTTCCCCACCATCCCTCCCTCTCAAAACACGTGTCTGTGATTTAATAAGTGATGGCTTTTGGGATATTCAATGTATAAGGGCACATTTTTTGGACAAAGATGCTGAAGCTATTTTATCGATCCCTATTGCTCTCTCGTCCCACTGCGACAAAGTTCTATGGCACTATACTTCTAATGGTCAGTATTCAGTTCGTAGTGGCTATTGGATTGGGGTACAACGTTTAAAAGATGTTGGTTTGAATAATATTGGCTCTATTGGTGGTCAAGGCAGTGGAGCAGGAAGTTCGAGTTCAATGTGGAAACAGGTCTGGAGGCTAAGAGTTCCTAATAAAGTTAAGCTTTTTCTTTGGAGGGCATTACAAAACGCCTTACCTTGTCATTGGGCTCTTACCTTTAGACATATTGGAGATGATAGTTGCTGTCCTCGCTGCCATGGCTCTCAGGAAACCATTATTCATGCTTTATGGGGCTGCCGTGAGGTGAAAAGGATTTGGAATCTTTCTTTTCTTACTGAAGTGATTAACATTTGGCATGAACCTACTTTTGCAGATCTTTGGTGCCATGTAATTTCAATGGGTTTGAACTTTGACTTGGAAGTTTTTGCTTACCTTTCTTGGCTTATTTGGCTTGATCGAAATGCATGAATGCATGGCCAAAAGGGACGTCACCTTGATGACTTGTACGCTACTGCCCATCGCCTTTCAGTGGAATTTATCTCCGCCAACACTATACATGTGCGTACTCATCCTCCCTCATCTACTCATTGGTGTCCTCCCCCTCCTGGTAAGTTGAAACTGAATGTGGATGGTGCTTGTAGTACTTCCGTTTGGAAGCGTGGATTGGGGGCAGTTGTAAGAAATGTGCATGGAGATCTTATGGGTGCTATTTCAATCCCTATCACTAGATGTTTCTCTGCCAAGGTTACTGAACTCTTAGCAATTCGGGAAGGCCTCTAGTTTGCTTGGGAGACCGGTTATGATTCATTAGTAGTTGAGACAGATGCGAGGAATGCCATTAACGACATCGTCTCTGGCACTGAGGCTTTTGGGGTTGCAGGGGGGATTATCAACGACATCCATATGTTATCTAGAAACTTTGACTCTCTTTCTTTTGTATTTGCTCCTAGACTGTGTAATACTGTGGCTGATAGACTTGCTAAGTTTGCTTTAGGTAGTGTGTCCATAGACGTTTGGCTTGAAGAGGGTCCTCCATGGCTCATTGTGTTTCTTCAAGCTGACGCTGATAGACTGGAGTTGTCTTGAATTTTTGTTTGTAACCGTTATGGAGCGTGTGGCACTATTTTTCCTTTGTCCCAGGTTTTGTCCCACTGGGTTTTCCTGGACAAGGTTTTAATGAGGCCACGTTTGGTCGCTCGAGTCTGTAACCTTTCCCAATTTTAATGAACATTTACCACTTCCTCTCAAAAAAAAAAAAAAAAGAAGAAGAAGAAGAAGAAGAAGATAATCTTGCAAGTTTCTAGAGACAACTAAACTACATGAAAAAATTGAGTACTGACTACTGGTATGGTACTATCAAAAATTCCCATAACACTGAAAATGTCCATGTTAGGCTGTGGACATCATGTGAAACATATATAACCCACATGGAATGAATCCTAGGTTTACTTGTGGCTTATCCTTGCACGTATTTGTTTCCTTAGAATCAATAAGATATTTTGAGTGATTGGTTGCTTTGATTTTGAATAGCTGTTTGCTCTTAGTTTTTATTTTATTTTCACGTTTTTCTTTCCTTATAAAAAAAATAGTTTATGTTTTTCTATAAAATAAAATAGACTTCATTTTCCATATGCTTTTCAAATGATAGAAAAATTAGTGTATACAATGTATAAGACTTCAAGTGAGAGAGAGGATAGGATCAAACCATCTTTATTTATTTATTTATTTATAAAATGCCCACAAATGTTATTATAGATGATATTCAGTTATTATAAAAGAAATGCCCACAAATGTTATGCATATAAGAAATGCAGTTATTGTGGGAGGAGAAAGAGGGACAAAAGAAGAGTGCTGCTATTTCTACCCACCTGTCCTATTTTTCTACCACCTTTATCTTCAAAATTTAGAAACAAATTTATCCATTTGTAAAATGACTTTTAAAGACTTAGATAAAAAAAAAAAAAAAACACCTATTCTCCTTCATCCTTGTCAAACCCCAACCCCTTCCTTCTGTCCCTCATCCCGACCAAACCCAAAACAAAATTCCAATAAAGCTTCAAAATTTCCAACTAGGTCCAATCCAATTCCATCATATTTCTCCTCAGTTTCTGAACCCAAGGGCACAAACTTTCCGTTCCATTCGCTCAGTTTGCTCTTCGTCTTCTTTTTAATTCTGGCATTTCTCTCTGTTATTGTTTTCATTCAGTGGAGAGATGCTGAACATTGAGAGCGATTTTCTTTATTTTTAATAATACTTTACAAAGGATCCCACACATTTTGATTGATATAGGTTGAAGATTTGAAGCATGCTTTGAATGAAAGTAAGGAGAATTTTCTTGAATTAATAATTAAAGGGTATTTTAGGAATAATGGTGGGTGTAAAAATAGGATTGTGTTTTTTCAAATTTACATGGTGGGTGGGAAGATAAGGTGGGTGGGGAAATAGGACTGGGGGTGGAAATAGCAGCACTCTAAAAGAATGGTGATAGTTGTTATTTCAAAGAAAAACAGAGTGGTGAGAAAATTGTATTTTTACCCTTTATTATGTTTGTTTTTCTTTCATTTTATTAAGGATAATAAATGTTATTTTCGAAAGTGATTCTTTTTAGATTTTTTAGCTTTTCGGCTGGCTCAGGTCATTGAGGAAGTTTTACCCATGTCTGCCATATTACTATTAGGATGACTCTCTTTACAATGTCATTTGTACTATGTTTTCTTATTAATTTAATAAAATACTATCGCCATTTTTATAAATTAAAAAAAAAGGGTAAAACATGGACATATGAATTTTTTTATATATACAAAAGTTTACAGGATTTTTTTCTTACATAAAATTGATTAAGTATAAACAATGACAACATATAAATTACTATATTTTCAGATATATATATATGTTATTATTGTCTCTCTCTTTTCCACAATTGAAAGCCGCTTTAAGCTGCAACCACTTGAAATATATAGCCAAAAGAGAATGAGTGATAGCAGTTTTGTAATTTATAAGAAGTTAAAAGCTTCATCACGAAGAGTTTCATACCTTAGAAGAATTCGTTGATGGCATCCCTCAAAACTGGTGGTGTGAAGACACCCGAGACAAGGAAGTGATTTTAATAGTGAATGTGACTGGGAGTTGCTCAGCCCAAACATTTAGTCATCATGTCAGAGTGAGGCATTGCTTCTCCTCGGCCAAGACAATCCGCATTGTCTCAAAGTCCAACAGCTCTAGAAAAGGGCAAGCAAGTCCAGTTCACGGGCAATCTAACAGTTCGAGCAGCGAAGCGAAACAAACTTGAAAAATCCTTGAAACGAACTAGTATCAGTTACTGATAGTAAGTATGAGGCAAGCAGTTATAGACGCGTGATCGGCTGGTAGAATGAGTGCAGAGGGATTTAGGAACAGGTTTTATATGTTGAGCATCGGAAGCAGCAGCAGCAGCATCATGTCCATGTCCTCTCTCTAATATCAGGTTAAGTTTTACATCAAAGCTTGCTTTCTAGTCAAACAAGTAGTTTCTGGGTGGGTAAAGGTAAGCTATGCTTGTTTGTTGGAGGCTGTAAGGAAGGAAATGTGACAAAGAATCTCTCGTGTTGTCTGCTTTTATTTCTGATTAGTAGGTCATAAACTAGTAATGACTGATTATATTGTATTAGATTAATCAATACCCTATCCTCACTGTATAGAAAATAAGTCTAAATGTTCTCTCTCTCTCTCTCTCTCTATCTCTCTCTCTCTAAACTACGTTCCAACCTCAAATCCAACCAAATGTCATGCAAGCAAAACAAAAGAGAGGAACAGAACCATGTGAAAAAGAGCAGTAGATTTCGTTCATTAATACTTGCACATAAACACATTAAACATCATCTATATTGTAATCAAATTCTTGAATAATAACTAGTCAAAATGTAGAATTGCTAGATTTATGTCAACACTGGCAAACAACTAGTCAAAATGTCCATTTTACTGAGTTTTAGATTTTAAAAAAGGGTCAATCTTATGAACTTTGAAGCATTCACTTTCTTGAATTGAGCCCTGAAATATCAATCTGAAAATACCCAATGAATTTTAGTAATGAAGTATACTTTGTTAAGTAATAGATACTACAGCTGGTAATCCTTGAGAGCCGCAGAGGGGAAAACCTGGTGTGCACACCAGGTGCTCGACAGAATGCCCCAACCAATCTGCAACCTTGTTTTTAAAAAAAGGCTTTAAAAAAAATAATAAATAAAGAACTTTTCTTCAGCCTTTCTCCCAAGCCCAGCCCGACTTCCCTTCCCTTCCCTCCAAAAAAACCCCAAAATTTCTAATTCTCGCCCCCAATTCCTCCTTAAACCCTAACCGCAACCACCACCTGCTGCCGCGTGATCCGTGAACGAATTTCTCTCAGCCTCGCTAGACTCACACAACGTCGACTGCTGGCTGCCAGTGACGAGGTACTAGTCTTTTTTATCTCTCAAATTCTTTCTGTAAATTATAGTTATTTGAATCTGGGTAGTAAGCTAGGGGCCTCCTGCTAATTAAAACACCAAAACGCAAAGAAAACCAAGAAAAAAGAATCACGAAGTCATACACAAAATCATGAAACCGTAGAATACAGAACCAACTAAGGCATACAAAATATACCGAGTTTTTGTACTGTGTTGAACAACCATAGAACACCACAGGAAAAACAAAAAACAAAAAGAAGAGAGCAAAGTGGTAGTGTGATGAAAACCTCTGTTGCACCGATACGCCATAATTTTGGGGTATGCGCGTATCCGATACGGCCCCGATACATGTATCGTATCGCCATACCGTATCCGTATTGGTGCAACTTAGGTGATGAACTACCAAAAGAAAAAGAAAAAAGCTGATAAGCATCAAGCAAGAAGTTTCAGTGGTGGGTCAATTTGACAAATATTTGCTGGATTATTAGAAAACTGAATTTGTGCGGTTTTCTTACTTGGGTTGGGTTTGGGTTTTGTTTCCATTGTATGTTTATTTCAGTGAGTTAAAGTCTACTACATTGGCTTGGTTTGCAACTACATTAGCAATACTACCATTTTGCAATGGGAGTCGTAAAGGATGGCAGCACCACCACCGGGTTTCTCCCTAGCAGTGAAGTTTTTGCCATCCACTATCCTGGTTATCCTTCATCCATGTCCCGTGCCATTGAGACACTTGGTGGGACCCAAGGAATTCGTAAGGTGTGTCAAGTTGCTATCTTAAATATCAATTGTGTCTAGTTTCTCAACATTGAATTGAATTAATGATATTGTAGCATTAATGGATTTTTCACTTTAAATAATATTACAATGGAATTTCAAGGAACCTCACAAGCCTGATTAAGATGAGCCTGATTTAGATTGACTCTTATATGTTTAACCGAATCTCATTCTCACCATATTGAAGAGAGATGTTCAATCAATGTTCTGCTCAGTCGTGGCTTGGTACTATCATTTGCAGGCTCATAGTTCACAGTCAAACAGGCTGGAGCTTCATTTCCGGCACCAAGAACCATATTCACATCCTGCCTTTGGAGACCTTCGTCCTTGCAACAACTTGTTGCTTAAAATATCCAAAACCAAGTCTAATGCTGGACAAACTCAGCCCCAAAGTGAATTACTTGCCAGCAAACAAGATGAAGTGCAGATGCCTGAAAATGATCGAGTACATTTTGATATTGTTGCTCGTGTCCCAGAGGCTTATCACTTTGATGGTTAGAGTGGCCCTGCTTGCACCGACACCTGTTACATCTCATGAACTTTCCTTACAATTTCAAAACTGATCTTCACCTGGTTTTTCTGTTCCTCTTTTGACATTTTAAAGGAATGGTTGACTACCAGCATGTTGTTCCTGTTCATGCTGATGTTGCACGGAAGAAAAAGAGAAATTGGATTGAAATTAAGGATCCACACTCTGGTAAAGTAACTATGTTTCACTGTCTTTGTTTTTATAGCTTCGATATATTCAGAACTTTTTTTTTTCTTTACTTTACCAAATTAGTTGATTTATTTTATATTATTTATCTATCTATTTGTAGATAAGGGTGGTCTTATGGATATTGATCAGGAGGATGCGATGATTCTGCTACCCCAACTCTTTGCACCTAAGGATGTGCCCGATAATTTAGTGTAAGACGCTCAAGCGGCTTTTATATTGTTATACTGGATCTAATTATTTTTATTTTTAAACAATCCTGTTACTGGAATTTTCCTTCAGATATTAACTGTCATTTTAGTTCTGTTTCTATCTTCATTACTACTCAAAGTTATATATATTTGGGCATCTTTGTCTAAACATATCTGGTGATATTCCCTTTAGTGGATTTCATCTTGATTGGATGGGAGCTATGTGTTGATTGTGTGTTGTTAGGCCTTGTAGGCCTTGATTAGATAGGGTTTAGCCCATCTTCTTTGTATTCCACTTCCTTGTATAAAAAAAAAAACCTTTGTTTTCTATTAAAAGACTTAAAAGTTATTGGATGGTTTCAGGTGAATGATCCATTTTTTGTTTCTCGTGCTAATATTAATCAGTATTATTATCTGTTAGGTTGAAACCATCAGTGACATTGAGTGCAAAAAAGAATCAAGAAGAACCTGTGCAACACCAATGGGAGGTGAATCTTATTATTGATTACATTACGTTGTAATTTTTCTGACACAAGTAACTATATGTTGTTTTTAAATATGCATGCTAAAGCTATGATATTTGTACTTATCTGGCTTTTATTGATAGAAGATGTGTATTACGAAGTTGTTGAACCAATGGAAGCTGAAGGTCATGAAAACAACCACATTGATATGTTAGCCTCAAAAGTTTGATAGGGAGATAGGTGTTATAGATATTTTATTTTTGAGATGTCATTTTTGACTTTAGGGTTTTAACTATGGCATCAAAAGTGAAAGGTTCTAATTTTTCCCCTTATACTTATTGATTTTCATTTTTTGTGTCTTAGTTATCAGTGTTAATTTTATCAGTTCTTTCATTTTGATGATTGTTTCTTATTTGTGAAATGTATATCAATGCTTCAATAGGTATAATTTTGAATTGAGAACTTAGTGTTCTCTTGGATAAGTACCTTTTATTTTGTTTCAGCTTATTCTTTGAGATGTTAACTAGGTGCATGGTGTTCAAACTGACATTTGATATTTTTATTTGTCTAGATGGATATGGAGCCAGTTCTTGCAATTGACTTTGGAATCAGTGATATCCTTTGTTTATTTTAGTAATCTAGTTATTACCCATTGCTGAGGGTTTTTCTAAGTTTTCCATGTTATCTTTTCTTCATATTTATTTCATTCAAAAATTGTGGGGGGTGGAATCTAGGAAGAATAAATATTCAGTGCAGCTCCATTGTGATTATTCTAGCTGCTTGGATTGCAATGCCAATGTTTAAATGTATTCCGAGCACTAATTGGGCAGGAATGGCACTAATCTAGCATAGCATAAAAATAAATGTGTACATTAATTGAGTAACTCACTGCCTCATGTTAGCTTTGTGATATTCTTTTTAGACCTAATTATGGTTTAATTTAAGATTTGATTGTTTTACTTATGATAGGAAATAAGTGGGAATGTGACTAAATAAGGTCCCTAAGTGAGTACTTAGATCAGAATCCAACAATCAAATGAATGAATATTATAAAAACTCGAATCTTAACAAAGTTTTTGCAAAGTTTTGTATCTGTAGTTCTTAACATTCTTACAGATTCCTAAGAGAACGAATTGGGAGGAATATATACCCCAAGGCTCAGATCAGTGGGAGTCACAGATGGCCGTGTCTCAGCTGTTTGATGAGCGGCCTGTATGGCCAAAGGATTCACTAACTGAACTCTTGGTTGATAAGGGCTTCAACTTTTCAGATCATCTACTCAGAAGGTTGTCTCCTTATAAGCCTTTACATTCTATTCTCAGTCTTTGTTCTGTTGGTTGAAGTCAATCTGTTCTTGCAGGCTTCTTTCTAGAGTCGCATACTACTTTTCACGTGGACCGTTTCTCAGGTTCTGGATAAAAAAAGGATATGATCCTCGCAAGGATCCTGATTCTCGAATGTGAGTATTTTAGAACAAGATCTTGCACATATATAGTATTTAGTATCTGTCCACTTTTGTTTCTCTTTTGCATATAATTTTTTGTTTTCCGTGTGCATAAAACTATTTTAAAATTTTCCATTTTGTCACGGGAAATAATTTCTTGCCTTTCATTTCATGTCTTTTAACGACTATGAGTTAGTTTATATGTCCAAGCTCACACATAAGTGTACATTTTAAACTAACATGTTTATGGATGTCATATCTTCATTTTTGCTTACATTAATGTCTGCTTTAGCAGATTTCAGAAAATTGATTTTCGAGTCAGACCACCATTACAGAGTTACTGTGATGCTAATTCAGCCAATCAGTAAGTTTCTCTTCAAAGTCTTCCTTTTGGATTTTTTATTTTTGCTTCAGATTTGCAATCTACTGTAACAATTAATAGAAATAGAGAACACTCAACATACTGACACCCTGCAGGATGTAATGAGTGCTCATTTATTGGCCTTTTTCTTGCTCTTTTAGTTCATTAAGGACCTTCAATACTTTCCATAGAATTCAACTCATTAATAAAGCAATGCTTAGTTCTGACAGAGTTGTCCAGAAACTGGTTGTTGGGAAAAATCAATCATCTTGGCTCTGTACCGTTCATAGCTTTTAGTTGGGAATAAAATTTTAGAAATGCCACCTGACTTATACACCATTTTCAATTGGTCACTAAATAAGATTTCAGAAAAAAAGAAACAAAAAGAAAAGAAAAGAAGAGATCCGACCACCAATCCACCCCCACGATGAGATTTTTTTGCCGGAGTTAACGTCAGGTAACAGATTAAGGATTTTGGAAGATTAGGATGACATATTCCGTAAATTTTTCCAAAGATTTAACATCTGGTGTTTAAGTTCATGTCACACTTCTAAAATTTTCCTTTTTTAGTTTTGGGTATATATATTCAAACTTAT